CGGCCCCGAGGCCCCCCCCCCCCCCCCCCCCCCCCGAAAAAAAAAAAAAAAAACCCAGCAAAAAAAAAAAAAAAAAAAAAAAAAAAAAACTATAGTAATCAAGAGTGTGTAGTATTGGCATAGGGTAGAGATGCATATAAACCAATAGAATAGAACTGAGAGCCCAGAAATAAACCCTTCAATTTTTAGTCACCTGTTTTTCATCAAGGTGCCAAGACAGTTAAGTCAGGGAAAGAAGAATCTTTTAAAAAATGCTGCTGGGACAACTGGACATCCACAAGCAAGAGAATGAAGCTAGATTCCCATTTCATATCACATGCAAATATTAACTCAGAATAAATAAAAAACCTAAATGTAAGAGCTAAGACTATACAACTGTTAGAAAAAAACCTAGGCATAAATCTTTGTAACCTTGCATGCTACAACATGAATTAACCTTGAAAACATCATGCCCAAAGAAATGAGCCAGGTACAAAAGGCCACATATTTTATGATTCCCCTTATATAAAATGTCCAGAATAGGCAAATCCATAGAGACTAAAAGTAGATTAGTGGTTGCCAGGGTCTGAGGGGAAAGGGGAATGTGGAATAAGTCTACAGTATGGAGTTCTTTTTTGGCATAAAGAAACCGAACTGGAATTAGTGGTGATGGTTACATGACCACGTGAATATACTCAAAACCACTGACTGTATACTTCAAAATGGTGAATTTTATGGTATGTGAACTATATATCTGTCAAAAACAATTTAAAAAAATAGGAAAACACATATGAGGCAAATATTAAGCCAAATAAAGCTAAGGTAGGTATATTAATATAAGAAAAAAGATTGATTATAGGGCAAAAACGTCAATGATACCAAATTACCAGGTATTACCAGAGTTAATAATTTCCTTACATGGTGATAAAATATTCAATTCACCAGAAAGATACAGCAATTCTAAATTTGTTTGTAACGATCTATGAACTTTCAAGATTGACAAAATTACAAGGAGACATTAACAAATTTTCCATATCAACAGGCAGCCAAAACCCCAGAAGAATATACAACATTTGAGCCAGATTAACAAACACAGCTTAATTGAGGTATATACTACACTAAACACAACTGTAAGACGCACTTTTTTTTTCAAGTGCTATTGGAACTTTTACCAGAATTGTCCATAAGTTGGTCCATAAAGCAAGTCTCAACAGATTTCAAAGAACTGAAATAATACAAAGTTTGTTGTCTGACCAGAATAGAATTAAACTGGAAATGACAAGAGCACTGATCTACCAAAACAGAAGCTGGTCCAAGGGCTGGTACTAAGTAGTGGAGGCCTCCTGCTGTGGTAAGCATTAACCCTTTAGTTGCTAGATGATAATCAGTAGGTCCTAGCTGTCCTGAGAAAGGAATTGGGGTGGCCAGGGTAACTGGGTAAGTGTTGGAGAGACTAAGAAAGCCTGGGACAGTGCCTATTTACAAAATGGACTAGAAATACTTTAAAAATTCATATGGCCATACGACAGTGAATCTGTGGAATATCAGCCCTGTTTAGTAGGCCAATGATAGAATTGGATACTTAGAAAAGAAGAAAGTGTGAAAACGAAGGAGCTGAGCAGCATGCAACTCTACTAAAGAAAAACAGAATAAATCCAAAGAAAATAGAAGAAACAGAGTAATGATGAAAAATAGTTAAATACAAAATAAAGAACAGAAAGGATCAAAAAGTCAAAAGTTGATTATTTTAGAAGAATTATAAAAGGGAAAAACTTATAGCAAGATTGATCAAGAGAAAAAAGAAGGTACAAATAAATAATATTATAACAAAAGAGGCTATCACTACAAACGCAACAGATAAAAAGCTACAAAGATAGGAGCTTTACACAAAATAAATCTGAAAACTGATGTGAAGTAGAAAAATTCCGAGAAAACCATAACTTAGAAAAGCTTAAGAAAGCTGACTTTAGTGGAAATAGCAAACCAAAAGGACTCTATAACTGATATAAGAAATTGTATCAGTTAAAATGTTAAAGGAGACATCAGGTCCAGATGGTTTTACCTGGAAATGCTGCCAGGCAAAATATTTGAGGAATGGATAGTTCTGCGGACAACCTCTGTCAGAGGACAGAATGAAAGGGAATAGTTCCCACCTGATTTTATGAGGTTAGTATAATTTTGAGACTCTTGGAAGAATTACAGGCCAATCTCTTTCCTGAGCAATATGCTAAAATCCTAAACAAAATATTAGTGAAAGAAATTCAGACGCTTTTATTTATCCCAGGACTGCAAGATTATTTCAACACAAGAAAAACTCTATTGTAATATACCATGTTAATGGGTTAAAATAGAAAATTAATGTCATTTCAGTGAATACAGAAAATATGTTTAATAAACTTCAGCATTCATCCATCTTTTAAACATTGTATTGGCAAACTTGGAATAAACAGGAACCTCTTTAACCCATTAAATGGTATCTACCAAAAAAAAAAAAAAAAAAACTACAGCGAATTTACTCAATGGTGAAACTTAAAATTGGGATCAGAATAAGAATATACACGATTAACATTTCTTTTCAACATGTACTGCACACCTCTTGTGTGTGTATATTAAAGGTGGGATGTCTTAGCAGTGTAATAATATAAGAAAAAGATAAAAATAAGGGTTGTGGGGAAAATGAAACCTGTCATTGACATACAAATTGTCAAAACTCATAAGAAAGTTTAGCGGGTTTGCTAGTTACAAATTCATTACATGAAAAACAAGTACAGTTGTATTCATTAGCAACATACTGCTATAAAATTTAATTTTCTAAAAAGGTACTATTTAAGATAGCGACAAAAAAGTAAAAAAATCTTACAATGATGTGCAAGCCTTTTATCAATTAAATTATAAATCTTCACTCAACATGAAAAGATCTGAATATATGGAGTGATATACCATGTTTAGGGAAGACTCAATGTCATAAAGATGGCAACTCTCTTCAAATTGATTTGATTTACAGATTATAATTTCCATCAAAATCCCAAAAGTTCTCTTTCTCTCTCTCTCTTGCTGTGTGTGTGTGTGTGTGTGTGCACACGTGTGCGTGTGTGCGTGTGTGTGTGTAACTTGGAAAGCTGATTCCAAAATTTATGGGGAAGAGCATTGGGCCAAGAATAGGCAAGACACTCCATAAGAAGAGGGACAAAGTGGACTTGCTCTACCAGGATAAAGGTACAAGAATGTATACTGCACTATTGTTCATAATCAAAAATTAGAAACTACCCAAATGTTCAACAACAGTAAGACAGATAAATAAACTGTGATATATTCACAAGGGGAATAAACAAACTACAGCTGCATGCAACAATAACATGGGTGGTTCACATAAACATAATGTTGGATGAGAAAAGAATATGCACAGCTGTTCAAGCACTTTACATGTTAATGAATTTCATCCTCAGAATAACATCATTAAGTGACTATGTGTCTTCTAGAGAGGATGATCCAAGAAAAGGGTGATTTAGACTTTTCAGGGATCAACAGACTGGCCTCCCTAGCAGGAGGTGAACCAGACATTGCCCAGACTTGGCAACCACTATCTAAGTTTTTTTGCCTCTATGGTCTAATAACATTTAGTCAAATATTAATGAATGGCTGTCTTGTGACCACAGAGCCCGATTTCTGGTTATGGTGAGTGGTAGAGTGGAAGTAGCACAGAATGGCCGTTTAATGAGCATCTACTATGTGCCAGGGTCAGGGCCTGATCAACATCAGTATATGATGGTAAATAAGATCACACACCTACTTTCTTGTTTAAACAACAAGAACAATAGTAATAATGATAATTAACAATTATTGAGTATGTACTATGTGCTGGACACTCTTCTAAGCATGTCACATGCTTTAGCTCATCTAATCCTCACAACTACACTGTTATTAAATTCCTTTTACAGGGGAGGGAACAGAAGCCTGTAAGAGGTTAAGACACTTGTCCAAGGTCACAGAGACAAGGGGAGATAGAGCTGGGACTCAAACCTAGGCAGTCTGGATCCAGAACCTCTGAATCAGTGAATTACCCCAAGAAACACTGGGCCATAGGCATTAATCCTGTTTTATAGCTGAGGAAAGTGATGCTCCAAACTAACGGGAGCACATATTTACTATCACCTTCTATTTGATAGAGACTATCTTAGGTGATATATGTATATTATCTCTACAACGTGAAAGACACAGTTCCCAGAACTATAAGCATTCTAGTTCTGGAGGACCCATGTATGTAGAGAATGGCTTGTTTGTCACCTAAAGCCACATTCCTTTGGAAAAGACCAAGAATGGCTGGCTGGGTGAGGGTACCTCTCAGTCTCCAGGCTCCTAGATCTCCAGATGAGTAAGTGAAAGAGCTGGTGGAGAGAAGCAGAGAGAACAAGAGCCTAGTCTTTTTTCTTCCTCTTCCTCCACTCACACCCTGTATACTATAACTGTATTTAACATCCTATATGCTCCTGGATCCTCTAAGCAACTACTGCTACCCCCAATATTCCTGAGCCTGGGCCTCCTCTAGCATTAACAGAGTAGAAACTTGGTCAACTGGCCTGTGGGGTGTCTGAATCTAGCAGTCCACAGCTGCCCTATCTTCACCCACCTTATGGCCCCTCAGGCCACAATCCCTGGGCTGGATGCACCTTAGTCTACCACTGTCGCCCGTTATCTATGGGAAATGGTATACTCCAGTTTTTTTTTTTTTTTTTTTTTTTTTTAATACGTACAGGTTTTGTTTGCTTTTCTTTTGCCCTTTATCTTCCTTAAATTTTCAAAGTGAGCACCACACCAGTGGGCTAGCCCTGAGAGACTGTCTCTCTCAAATTCCCAAAGCAGCAAGGGGGTCTGTATGTGCCAGGAGGGTAACACTGGAGACAGGACATTGAGTGTTTCCCAACCTAGGCAGGTATAGACTCAGAAAAGGCCTGAGAAAGGAGAGGAGCAATACTGCCCAGTGACACGGCACTGCTGCGTACCCAGCACCTGTCTCCTGAGAGATGATGCCAGGAATCATCACCTTATTTAACCCAGTCACTATCAGTCAGACAAGACCAACTCCCAGACCCTTCACAGAAATCACTAAAATGAAACACACTAGGCTATCACTGAACAGTCCTAAACTAGAAATCTTAAATTCCAAACAAGAAACATTCCAAACAAGCTCTACATTAGAAAGGAAAAGTTCCTAAAGATCTCTCTGATTAAAATGGTCTTAACTTAATCTTTCTCTGTCTTCATCTGTTTCTTTCCACCTCTTCTCTCTCATTCTCTTCCCACCTTTTTGACACTAGCCTCTATTTCATCCAGTTGTTCATCTATTCCAACTTTTAGGTTGAGGTGGGAGTGGATGGCAAGGGGAGAGGCATCCTTTGCTCTTCTACACCCACTTTACCACCACCACCTTGAAACCCACAGAAGCAAACCCCACTTACAGCCCCTTCTCCGTTGCAGCCTGCTGCTGCCGCTGCTGTGTGGAATCCAGATCTTCTGTAACCTGGTTTGGGTGAGCTCGCCCATCTCTGGAGACATCTTAGGAGTCGCAGCTAATGACATCACTGCCCACAAGGTACCTGGCCTTACTTCCTGTCTTACTATCGTACTGCTGTGGCCACAGCAGCAGGTGGACAGGGCTGGGACGGGGGGTACACTGGGTTTCTGAGCCCTCTCAAAGTCTGTCTTCAGTCCCCTCTCCCCTTTCCTCTGGTCCTAGCCTGTCTCTGCTCCTGTATGTACTAGAAGGGGCTTGGGTGCAGAAAGCGAGAGGTTGGGCAGAGGTCAGGAGGGGCCTCTGAACTCCAAGGGCTGTGTATATAGGAAGCAAGTTGGAGCCCAACAAGGAAGGCAGCCAGCAACACAACCCAGGTCTGACCAGTCACTTTCCTCCAATGAAGGCAAGACTAATACAGTATGCAAATAAAAGACCAAAGATCATGTGCTTACAGCCTGTGTGGGGTAGAGAGGCAAAGGTGATGGAGGTAGGTCTCAGCAGCTTTCCCAGCTTTGAAATAAAAAATGGGCCCAAGGAGAATGTCAAGCTCCAACCCAGAAACAAAGATTCACATCAGAAATGCAAGGTTCCCAAGGACAAAAACACAAACACAAAGTCCCTACTGGGGAATGCAGTGTTTTGAGCTGGCAATTAGAGGCCCAAACTGGACGAGGAAGGTCCACTACCTCTCGGCTTCCCCGACCCAAAATGGCATTGCATCCCTTGTATTCCCTGGATTCTGCTGCCTTCCTTGCCACAGGGCCTCTCCCACCTAAAATGTGTTGCCTGGGGCACTCTTGAAGAGATGGGCACTATCTGATCATCTTTCTACTCTCTCTAGCCAAGGGATAAATAAATAGGAGTAAACTGACACCTTTGGAAGAGCGCTGCCATTGCCTGGGGCTGGGGGTGGGGGAATGGTAAGCTCTGCCCACATGGCTGCTAGCCACCATCAGATGCCCTAAGGAGAATAACATTGGCATCATGAACTGATAGAAAATTTCGCTAAAGTTCCTCATGCCAACCCATTGGGATGGAGACTTAAGAGGGTGGAGGTTGCAGCAGGGAGCAGAGAGCAATGGCCTCAGAGTAAGACAAGTCCATAGGCCAGAGCCATCCAGCCCAGATGACTCGCCCTCACTTGCCCTCTTTCCCCCTTCCCTGACCCGTTGTTTTGAGGCTTTTATGTGTAGAACTCATAGAACTGCACTGCTTTCCTGGATGACATCCAAGTATGCTCTTACTTCACTCTTTTGCAACCTTCCCACCCCCAGTGAACCTCCAATGATTGGCTACGAGAAAGCTCAACTTTCTTCCACTGAGCTGGGCTACACAAGGGCAATCTCTTGGGGACAGAAATTTCCAATCCCTGCCCTCAAATGCTCTCAGCCCTACTTTGCCTTTTAAGAAGTTCCCTAAAATACATTTGCAAGCCTTAGTCTACACAAGGGTCAGATTCCCTCCAGCTGTTGTGTATAAATCATACCAAATTTTTAACATTCCAGAGCCCACCTATCTAAATGAATCAACGGAGACAGCAGATCATAATGGTTAAGAGCAATAGGCTCTGAAGCCATGTTACTTGAATGGAACCCTACCTCTGTCCCTTGTTGGCTGTGAGACAATGAGCAAAAGACTAAACTTTTCAGTGCTTTGGTTTTCTTATCTGGAACATGAGAATGATAGGAGTGCCTACTCTCCTTAGTATTGTTGAAGATTTAATGTGTTAAAAAATGTAAAGCAATCCGGGAAATGTTAAAAATATATTATCTAACACTGTTACTCCCTGTGGGAGGTAAATGATCAGACACCTCTCTGACTAATCTGAAACTTGTAATGTAATGCTGGCCATACAGAAAACCCTCAGTTAAGGAAACTTACAAAATTATGGCAAAAGCTTAACATTTATAATACACAAAGAGTTCCTGCAAATCAATTAAAAGGATGAATCAATTTTACTCTTTTCATTTTGTGTAAAGAATTGTGAGATCATTTCATCTCACCCTCTCAGGTAAGAAAACTGAGATCTAGAAATATTTTCCTAAGCTCATGTAGTAAATCAGTGGCCAAGTCAGGAATAGAACACCAGGGACCTAATTTCTCCCAGGCCAGGGCTTTTCTTTAATTAATCAATCGAGCCTGATCTAAGAATGTGGTCTTACAGGTTAGCTCAGAACCTCTAGAGTCTCAGAACTAAACTTTGTAAGAGGTACAACTCTCTTAATTCTAATAAATTTCCTAACTGGTATAAATCTGTTAATATTAATAATCTTAATTATAACCCTTTCCCTGTATGCTTTCCATTGTCCACAAAGCAATAACATATCCGTTATCTTATTTGATCCTTACAAACATCCTTGTTAACCTTACAGGGAAACTGAGGTCTGGGGACGGGAAATGGCATGTTCAAGGTAATCTAGCCGGTCACATGAATGCCTCTTCTATGATTACAATTTTGTCCTCATGATTACAATTTTGTCCTCATGACCCTGCCAACAGGCAGAAGGATAATTTTAGCAGCAGGAAATCTGAGATAGGAAGCTGGCAGGCTTTTGACAAAGTTTGAAAGGGTAAACCTGGGGTCCAGGCTCAAAAACCCAATTTAAAATTGCCTGGAATTAGCTATGAGATTCCTCACTACTGTTACCAATTCTGATCCCAGAAGCAGGAGACCAAAACAAGCTTTATGGAAAGACCTCAGCTTGGCACTCAAGACTTCTCAATCAAGCTTTGGCCTACCTGTCCAGCCATGTCTCTCCTTAGATCTCCATGCTTAAACTGCACTGGCTGACTCACTGGGCTCCAAAATACACTGTGTATCTTCCTGTTTCTTGACCTTTGCTCAGCCTGAAATGCCATCTTTCTCCTTCTATTCCCAACAAAATCTGACTCACTTTTCAAGGTCTGGTTCGATGTTCACTTCCTCTGGGAAGCGACCCCTGTATCCTTGGGACAGGCTTTGTCTTTGGTTCTTATATTGCTTATATGCTCCTATCTGAGCAAGTATCCACCAGTATTTTCCTGGTCTGCTTCCCCACTAGACTGTGAACTCCTTGAGGATGGAGACTGGATCTCAGTGATCTGCAATTTGTGTTTCCAGTGTTCAACTCAGGCCCTGGCACAGAGGACAGACGAGATACTTGCTCGTGTTTGTGCAGTCTACATCTCCCTACCCTGGATGAGATGCACTTGTGGACAAGTAATCCTAGTTCAACAAGGTAAATATTATAACAGAGAGCTGTACAGGGAATTGGATGGGAGAACTAACTTGGTCTAAGGTAGGAGGTGGCATTTGGAAAAGTTTTTCTACATTGAATGGGACAGAAACAAATAAACAAATGAATGAAGTCCTCTCTGAAAAGGGCCAATGGACTTGTGGCAGAGAAAGGGTTCAGTCAGTACCAGATTCTCATTCAAGACCAAGCTCTGACCTGCAGCTCTTGGTCTAAAATTCTAAAATGAGGCTATCTCTAGGGAAGAAAAGATTATAATGTGATTTCCCAAGGCCCACAGATCCTGACCCCATGCCCCTCCCAAAGGACAGGGCATGTATATGGGGGGAGAATCCCATGTAAACCAGCATATGACAATGCTGATAGGTAATATAATCACGAATGGGGTCTCCCTATTGGTAGCTCTCAGACTGTTTGGGTATGAATGCATTTGTGGAGAGTGAAGGTGTGAGGGGAGATCGACCACATGCTTACAAGCTAGGTGCATGTATTTGAGTGTTAAGCCTTCTGTGGCAGTAGCCTAGGATCCCCCTCCTTCTCAGCCACTGTCCTGGCCCACCATCTCTCCACTATTTTCAGCCTCATGCCTGGACCCCAAACCTCACTGAATCCTAGTCCTAGGAGTAGCTCTCCACAGACCATAGTCGCACAGGGAGAAAAGGAGCTGGAGGGTTTTGGGTGGTATTCCTTGTGGAGCCTATAGAAAAAACAAGATCACTACTCCTAGACAGAGCAAGGAAGTCCTGAAATGTCTCCAAAGAGCTTTGGTTTCTGTCCTTCTACCCTTTTTGATTGTGACAGCCCTCTGAGGACAGTTGGCCGAAGACTTTGATTTCCATTTTACTGAGGAAGCTACTGATGCCCAGAGAAGATAGAGAGCTTGTTCAAAGCACCACAGCAAATCAACCCTACTTTATACACCAGTGGGGAGGTAAGAGATATAATCTTAATCACTCAGTTCATTCAAAACCAGGCTAGACCAAGTTACAGAGACTTTCAAAGGTGCTAGGAAATTGCCCTGGGGACCAGTGTCCCACAATGGCCAGAATGGATTTTTTAAAATATACAGATAGATAAATAGATTACATATAATCTTTTCCCTCACTTTCCCATGCCCTTTAATGCACATGCCAACCAACTACCTAGGCAAAGAAAACTTTCCAGAGAGCCTGAAGAATGGATGTGGATTTGTGCAACTCCTGCCTACTTTCCCTTTTTTTCACTTACCTTTTCTTCTAGAGGTTTTTTCTTCCATCGCTAATTATCCAGCACTGGGTTCTCTTGCATTTACAGACCCCCAAGGCAGGTCCAGTGGGTGGCATCAAAGAGGAAGCCTGGAGGTATTCGTTGGTTCCCTGAGAAGGTTGAGGATGTACCCTTGTTAAGTGGGGGGTGTACGTGCTCTGTTGAAATATCAGCTGTTGTAGTTGCCAAAGAAGTTCCTGAGCCACCCGAAGACTTTTCTCTTCAGTCCAACCATGTGTTCACCTTGCCCCAAAGGTCAGAACTAATATTAACAAGCCACTGCAGAATGGGGAAATTAAAACCAGCTATGGAGACAGGCAAGTTCTGGATTTCGCTGGGGTTGAGTTTCAGATGGGTCTTCAGTGTAAATGGGCACAATCCCTTACTGGAAAGCAATCTGGCAATATGAAGCAAGAGAAAATGTTCATTTCCTTTGTCCTAGTTATTGCACTCCTGGGACTCAATCCTGAGTCAATAACCCCCAAAGCATGAAAAAGCTCAGGACATACAAATTTTTATTTTATTCATAGAGCTATTTTCTAATAGCAACAACTGGTAACCTTTAAGTCCTCCAGGAGGAAAAGCAGTTTACTGGATCTTTGCTGTAACCATTGAGGATGATGGCTCTAAGACTGAAATTCTGGGAAAAAATAATTATGCTGCAATTCTGGGTGAGGAACCTAAAGATGTATCGTTATGCTTTTCCCTGGACATTAAGCATATCCATTACTTCTATTTTTTGTGCGCTCAAAACCAAGCCATGAACCTGTTGATGCTCTTGTTATTGTCCTTTGTTCATTCATTCACCTGACAAATGTCTATTGCTTCCTAATATATGCTGTGTCCAGTATTAGGGGATGTGACTAACAAGATGAACCAGACATAGTCATTGCTCTCAAGCTGCTGGCAGTCTAGTAGCAGCAGAAATAGAAGTCACTGATAGCTGTTCATTGTAAGTCCTGTGACAGAATGGACCATACGGTGCTGTGGGGCCCCAGAGGAAAAGTCTTAACTGGGGAGGTGTGTGGTCAGTAAAAACACTCAGAAAAGTAATCCTTGAGCTAATTAAGACAGGGTTTGAATCTTGACTGTACCACTTCAGTGTAAGAAAGAGTGAACTGTGAGAATGAAGTGAATTCACTCGACGTCTCTAACTTAGCCTCAATGCCCCGAACTGTGTTGCCCTGAGAATGAAATGAGGTAACATATACAGAAGAGTCATGGATGCATCGGGAGACAATGCTGCTCACGAGCTTACATTTCCTGGGCCTTGATTTCACTTATCTGGGAAACAGAACTAAGAGGAAGTATGTGTCTGGCTACATCCTTCAGAATGTTAGGCGGGCCAAGACAAATAAAGGCAGGCTTGAGACAGCCTCCTCCTCCTCCTCCTCCTCCCCTTTGGCCCAATAAAGCCAAAGGCCCTCCTCCTAAGTCTTATCTCAGTGGAGCAACTCTTACTGCTCCCTCCTCCAACCACGAACTTCCCCTTGCCCCGCCCAACGCGAGCACAAAGCACCACCTACTCCTGGGGCGCAAGCGCGGCAGCCTTCGGCGTACTTAGGTGGGTGGTCCGCCGCACTGAGGGCGGGGCTTTGGCTACTTCGCGGTTCCGCTCAGGGTTCCGTCGCTTAAAAAGTGGCAAAATCCCGTTTGTAAGTAACCGGAAGCACCAGGTGGACTTCTCAGTAGAGCGAAAACGCACTGAGACTCAGGTGTCCGAGCAGGAGGAGCAGGAGCCCAACTAGAAACTCCTCTCGTCATTCATTGTCCTTAGGCTTCCGCTCTGCTTCCTTCAGCGTCCGCCACTTCCTCCTCCCGCCAATGAGAGCTAAGGAAGTTAAAGCCCCGCCCCAGTGCGTCAGACGCGTTTGTGGCACGCACGAGAACGCCTGCGCAAACGCGCGCGGGAGGTGGGCCGGGCCAACTTCTGAACAACAGGCAGTTCGCCCGCGCCTAAGTTGGCGCGGGCTGTCCCGACCATTTAAGATGTTGCGTGTGGTGAGCTGGAACATCAATGGGATTCGGAGACCCCTGCAAGGGGTGGCAAATCAGGAACCCAGCAACTGTGCCGCCGTGGCCGTGGGGCGCATTTTGGACGAGCTGGATGCCGATATCGTCTGTCTCCAGGAGACCAAAGTGACCAGTGAGCGCTCTGAATTCCAGCATCCCTACATACTTTTTCTTTTTCATGAACTTTTGCCTCTTACTCCATGTAATATTACTTTCCCAGTTTCCTATTCTTAGAGTCCTGCCCTTAGACCCAGATCCCTTCTCCCTTAAACGCCCATTTCCCACCCTAGTTAGATCCCCTAATTGCACTCCATCTCCTGTCTTCAGCAAACTTTAGCTCCTCCTCCAAACCCCGTAGCTAGTCAGATTCCCACTCATTCTCTGGCCCCAAATTCAGTCCCCTGAATTTCCTCCTTCCATAAGCTGTTCGTCTCCCCGCCACCCAGTCAAACCCCCCAATTCTTCATGTTTGCCCCAAGCTCAGATCCTCTAATTCCCACCCGTCTTTGACCCCAGCTCAGTCTTTGTAATTTCCTCCTTTTCACACCTCTACCTCAGATACCCCTTATCCCCATCTTTTTTCACCAGCTGAAAGCCCCTAATTCCCACCTCATTTCCCACCCCAAGCTTAGATGTCCTCTTATTTCTTCTCCCTATTATCTTCCCTCAGAATCCTCTAATGTCTTTTCCCTCCATCCCCAGTGCAGATCCCCTAATTCCCCCTCTCTTACCTCCCACCCTTAGCTCAGATGCCCACTTTCCTCCCTCATGTCCATCCCCACCTCCAGCTCCCTCGCATCCTCCAGACCCCCAGGCTTAGGCCTGATTCTTTTCCCCTCCCACCTAATTCTCAAGCTCCACTTTATAGTCTCTAACCCTCCCCTCCCCTTCTGATTCTCATATCAATTTCCTCTCTGGCTTTTCCCATCTTTCTAGCTCCTCCTCTAATCATAGATACTTCATTTCCTTCACCCCCAACTCTGGCTCTGATGTGTGCAAGGAATTAGCCTACAACTACAATTCCAGGCCTTTGTGTTTCGTGCATGCTAGTCTTACTTCTGATTTAATCTTACATTTTTTTTTTCCCCAGGGGATGCACTGACAGAACCCCTGGCTATCGTTGAGGGTTATAACTCCTATTTCAGCTTCAGCCGCAACCGTAGTGGCTATTCTGGTAAATGGGGCCTTCTGTGGACTTTAAATTAGTGATGGTGGCAGGTAGGGGAAGAGGGTTTCCAATATTTGATGAGAGGGTAATAAGAAATTTAGACATTTAGTTTACAGAGCTAAAGCTGCATAATAGTAAGTTACGTGAAATATAATTTTTATGTTTAAATTATCCTATTGGACCTCAAGTACAGTAGTAGTGTGGTACTTAATTGTGTGAACTGTGAAGCCAGATGGCCTGGGTTTGAATTATGGCTCATTTCCTAGCTGTGTACCCTCTGGCAAGTTACTTTACCTCTTGGGTGCCTCAGATTCCTCGGCTAGAAAATGAAGATCATGTTTATCTTCTAGGGCTGTTACAAGGATTAAATGAATTAATCCGTGTGATAATAGCTAAAACTTCTTGAGCACTCACCATGTATCAATGTAAAAAACTTAGAACATGAGCCGTTATTATCCTATGGCTTTTCTGGATGCAGGAAGTGAGACTCCAGGGTTTGAGTAAGGTTGCCCAAGAGCCACACTTTGTGAAGATGACTTAGGTGACCTGTGTGGGGACAGTTGGAGTGGGACAGGCTGTACAACAGGCTATTGGCTGCCAGGTCTTCTCAGAGTACCCTATCTGTTTCCAGGTGTAGCCACCTTCTGTAAGGACAGCGCTACCCCAGTGGCTGCTGAAGAAGGCCTGAGTGGCCTGTTTGCCACCCAGAATGGGGATGTGGGTTGCTATGGAAACATGGATGAGTTTACCCAAGAGGAACTCCGGGCTCTGGATAGTGAGGGCCGGGCCCTCCTCACACAGCACAAGATCCGGTAATAGCTCTTATCTCCCTGCTACTGAGCACTGCTGGTGCGACCGTTTGAGTGTGAAGATTCTAAGGCTTGCCTTATAAACATATGTGCACCGTGGAAAAGTTCCCAAATTTGCCTTTCCTTGTTTAGCCCTGGCTGGGCTGCTCACTACGTGACCCTGGCAAATTGTGTTCCCCTCTGAGGCTCGAGTTCCATCTCTGCAGTGCTGGGCTGGCCAGGCGATCCACCTGTTACTACAGACACCTCAAAAGCAGCTTAGTGCTGAACTCACTGCACCATGTTGCCCTCTTTCTGGGTGTTCTGTCTTTGTGAATAGCAGCACCATCACCTGGTTGTCATCCTTAGATGTCCCTCTCCCTGCCTTACCGATAGTCAGCCCCTAAGTCCTGTGCATGCCAGCTCATTTGTGTCTCTTTAACCCATTTCTTTTCCATCCCAGACAATCACTAAATGGAAGCCATGTGGTATGGGGAAGGGACAGGAGGGGAGGTTTGAAACTGACTCCTTTTGGGGGTTTTTCTTTTCTCCAGCACATGGGAAGGAAAGGAGAGGACCCTGACCCTAATCAACGTGTACTGCCCCCACGCAGACCCTGGGAGGCCTGAGCGGCTGGTCTTTAAGATGCGCTTCTATCGCTTGTTGCAAATCCGAGCAGAAGCCCTTCTGGCGGCAGGCAGGTACTGCAAGCCTGGGCAGCAAGGCGTCCTTGAGTTCCTCCTGAGTACCCAGCCCTGTGTCAAGCTCCATTGAAAGGGCTATGGACTCTTTGTCTCTGAATTCTTTCACAGCATAGTTGCAGACCCCAGTATGCCCACCTGAATAGGCTCTGCTCAAAACAAACATGGGTTTTGTACTCTGAGCACGTATTCAGGCTCCTGCCCTTGCTCATTGTGAGCCCTAGGGCCAGTCTTGCCTCTGTTTTCTCTTTCGTCAAATGAATATATGAATCTCTACCCGACAGAATAGTTTTAAGGGTGAAATGAGATGACAATGGTAAAGTGCCTGGGAGCAAAGGAAAGTCTTGTTCCAGGGAAGGACAGGAAAGTGAGGGTGGGTTAAAGCAATCAAGGGGAGTTGGTATCTGAGTTCAGCTTTGAAGGACAAGAAAAATGCCCGTTAGGTACTGATCAGTGAGGCAGTCGTGTCAAACAGGGAACACTGTCACCTTTGGAGATCAGAGTTGGGTTGGTCAGATGTGAAAGGCAGCAAGGTTGTGGTAAGATTGGAGAGGTAGGCTGCTATGAGTAGCTGTTGGCTAGGAAGCCTCAATATGGGAGGTGGCCTGTCTGAGTTCTTGGGCCCAGGAAAAAGTATATGGGCCAGGACTGCTGTACCCCTTTCTAACAATCCCACATTGTGTTTTTCAGCCATGTGATCATTCTGGGTGACCTGAATACAGCCCACCGCCCCATTGACCACTGGGATTCAGCCAACCTGGTAAGGCTCCCTCTAGGTGCCTGGCCCCACTCCTGACTGATTCTGTTTGTCCAGCCAACCAACACTGGGTTTTTGGCCCAGGGACAGCTTCCTTTATGGGAAAGTAGAGCTTGGTTTGTAATACTATTCTTATAGTACTGAGGATTGGTCATTCATTCAATAGACAATACTGACTCTGACTATGGCCTGGCCCTGAGCCCCATACTGAGGACTCAGGAATCAGATCCAGCTCTTGGTTCCTAGGAACTCTCAGCATGGTGGTGGGCTACAGACACATGGCTAGCAGGTTTTAGGATGGTATTCTTAGGGCAGAGGCACAGATGGCATCCCAGAAAACTACGGGAGTTCAGAGATGGGATTCCTAGGTGAGCTCAGACATCAGGACAGGCAGCTGAAAATGCCTGAATCTTAAAAGATGAGTAGAACAGAGCTTTGAGGTAGCAAAGCATTCTAGCATGGGCAAAGGTTTCAAGGTGAGAATTTGCATTGTGTGTATGGGGAGCCACAAGTCCCTTTCTTGTTAGTGACATGGGAAGGGAGGTGCTTGGCAGAAGATGGGGCTGAAGAGTTTTTGGGGAGTCAGATTTCAAGGACTGTGAATTCCACATCGCCTTGGTCATTTCCTTAATACACTCTGTTTCTTGCTTGTGAGCTTTCAATACCTCTCTGTTACCTCTGTGATGCAGAGAAAATATGGAGGCCTGGTATTCAAGGCTCTTGGTCTGTGACCTGTCTATTTCCACCTTCAGTGTCCCTACACATTTTGTCCTCTTTAGACAGATTGTTGCCTTTCTGCCCCTTGCAAAAGCTATTCTCATTCTGGCTTTTCTCACTGTGCCCTGAATTGGTGGACATGACCCCTCTCTGTCTTTTTGTTATATGAATCTCTTATCTCTAAGTCCCACTAGGCCCATGGTTTTCAACCCCCAACTGCATATTAGAGCAAAAATATCAATATCTTAGCACTACTCCAGACCAATGAACTCAGTACTCTTGGGTGTGGGGCCAGAGTAGTGGCATGTTCTGAAAACCCCCAGTGTGACTTTATTGTGCAGCCAGGCTTGAGAACCACTGCCCTAGGATCTACAAGCCAGCTGTTATCTTGGCTTGCCTCGTGTCTCATGATGGGGGATCAGTGACTCCTGCTGGCACAGTCCCACTCAGCACTGAGCTTGGCTCAGAGGAGGGGCCATGGGAATATTCCTGGATTCATTATTTGCAGAAGAGCTACATAAATGTAGATATGGCTCCAAGCTGGGAAAATGAATAGAAGTGAGAGAATGGTGGTGGAGGTGTGGTGGGGAGCAGAGAGAATGCTACAAAGTGCGAGCCTTCAGTTCCTCCCTGCCTCATTCCTCTTATGCATTTATTCAGTGTGTGCTTTCAGATTCCCGTGATAGCATCATACACCTTTATGCCGTCTCTAGTTAGTCCAGAGCTATCCTAGATCTCTCAAGTGTGTGTACCTCCTTCATTTTCTCCTTCAGGAAAAGAGAACTGATAGTGTCAGCTCAGATGACATACACAGTCTTTCCAAAATAGCAGAACACGTCTACTTGCCACTAGGCTTGCTCTTTTAGTCTTGTCATTTCTCTAAATGGCAGCATCATCCCCTTGGTTGCTTCAACTTAAAGCCTGGGCATTGTGCCAGTATCGTCTTTCTTTCTTACCCCACTTCCCACATTCAGTCAGTCGACAAGTATTGTTGAATCTAGCTACAAATCATCTCATAATTTCATGCTTCTGTCTCCTCTGGCAGCCACCCTAGTCCAAGTGACCGTCAGTCATCTTGCTTGTGTGACTATGGCAGTCATTTCCTGCTGGGATACTGGTCCCAAGTCTGGTCTTTCCTCAAGTCTTTTGGGTACGCAGCACGCTCCCTGCACAGGCCCAGCACAGAGACTGTTCTTAAAGTTAAGAGCACCCTCCACCTAGGTTACTCTTGCTCAGCCTCCACACCTCAGCTCCAGATAACTTCTTGAAAGGAAGCCTCCTTGGTCCCCAGGAATAGATCAGAATTCCTACTTTGTCCCTGGCATCATGCTTGACACATAATAGGTATTCCATGAACGTTTGTTGCATTGAATGACTGGGTGGCTAGGTGGATTGAATGGATGGACTAATGGATGATGGATTGGGGATCAGAGCCTAAGGAAGTATTTAGACCTGGATCCTAGCAGGTCCTCAGCTCAGGAGTTAAGGATGGTCATTGAAGGCTTTGACACACCAGATAAGCCAAATAGTGCCAGAGGGTTTAAAGGAAGAAGCTGATGGACTTCCTATCTGTTAACCCCAGCCCTACTTCATAGAGGCAACCACTTTTTTTTTGTATTTATTGAAAATTTTTTTGCATTTATTTAATTTTTTAAATTATACTTTGAGTTCTGGGGTACATGTGCAGATCTTACAGGATTGTTACATAGGTATACACATGCCATGGTGGTTTGCTGCCTCCATCCCTCCATCACCTACTTTAGACATTTCTTCCAATGTTATTCCTCCTCAATCTCCCCATCCCCTGCTATTCCTCCTCTAGCCCCCTACCTCCCAACAGACCCCAGTGTGTCATGTTCCCCTCCCTGTGTCCCTGTGTTCTTGTTATTTAGCACCTGCCTGTGAGTGAGAACGTGGTGTTTTGTTTTCTGTTCTTGTGTCAGTTTGCTGAGAATGATGATTTCCAGATTCATCAATGTCCCTGTAAAGGACATGAACACATCCTTTTTTATGGCTGCATAGTATTCCATGGTGTATATGTGCCACATTTTCCTTGTCCAGTCTATCATCACTGGGCATTTGGGTGGGTTCCAGGTCTTTGCTATTGTAAACAGTGCTGCAGTGAATATACGTGTCCATGTGTCTTTATAATAGAACGATTTATAATCCTTTGAGTATATACCCAGTAATGGGATTGCTGGGTCAAATGGTATTTCTATTTCTAGATCCTTGAGGATCTAGAAATGTCTTCCACAATGGTTGAACTAATTTACACTCCCACCAACAGTGTAAAAGTGTTCCTATTTCTCCACATCCCCTCCAGCATCTGTTGTCTCCAGATTTTTTAATGATCGCCATTCTAACTGGCAAGAGATGGTATCTCAATGTGGTTTTGATTTGCATTTCTCTAATAACCAGTGATGATGAGCATTTTTTCATATGTTTGTTGGCTGCATGAATGTCTTCTTTTGAAAAGTGTCTGTTCATATCCTTTGCCCACTTTTTGGTGGGTTATTTTTCTCTTGTAAATGTGTTTTAGTTCTTTGTAGATTCTGGATATTGCCCCCTTGTCAGATGGGTAGCTTTCAAAAATTTTTTCCCATTCTGTTGGTGAGGCAACCACTTTTAACTTCCTGTTTTCCATTCTTTTGAAAAGCAGTTCTGGGAATTGCTTTGATGAAACAAACTTTCAGATTTGCCATTGATGGACCAATGCAAGATAAATTCAAGCTCATGCAGAGGGAAAAATAAGCATGGGCTTTTAAATAGGATGAAAATCAGAATCCCAACTCTGCCAATTCTGGAGGTCAGGAGTTCCCGACCAGCCTAACATGGTAAAACCCTATCTCTACTAAATACAAAAAATTAGCTGGGCATGGTGGCGCATGCGTATAACCTTAAGCAGTAGTCGTCTTAGGACAACCAAATTTTCTTGTTTGTAAAATGCAGCAGTTAGTCTAAGTCCCTTCCAGTTCTAGGTATCTAGTTCTGTCTCTCTCTTTTCCAACCCCCTTTCCCTCTCGCCTAGGAATGCTTTGAAGAGGACCCAGGGCGCAAGTGGATGGACGGCTTGCTCAGTAACTTGGGGTGCCAGTCTGCCTCTGATGTAGGGCCCTTCATCGATAGCTACCGCTGCTTCCAACCAAAACAGGAGGGGGCCTTCACCTGCTGGTCAGCAGTCACGGGTGCCCGCCATCTCAACTATGGCTCCCGGATTGACTATGTGCTGGGGGACAGGACCCTGGTCATAGACACCTTTCAGGCCTCTTTCCTGCTGCCTGAGGTGATGGGCTCTGACCACTGCCCTGTGGGTGCAGTCTTGAGCGTGTCCTCTGTGCCTGCAAAACAGTGCCCACCTCTGTGCACCCGCTTCCTCCCTGAGTTTGCAGGCACCCAGCTCAAGATCCTTCGCTTCCTAGTTCCTCTCGAACAAGGCCCTGTGTTGGAGCAGTTGGCACCGCAGCATAACAGTCAAACCCGGGTACAGACGTGCCAAAACAAAGCCCGTGTGCGCTCAACCAGGCCTCGGCCCAGTCAGCTTGGCTCTAGCAGAGGTCAGAAAAACCTGAAGAGCTACTTTCAGCCCTCCCCTAGCTGTCCCCAAGCCTCTCCTGACATAGAGCTGCCTAGCCTGCCACCAATGAGCACCTTCATGACCCCGAAGACTTCGGAAGAGGAGGCAGTGGCCAAAGTGGTGAAGGGGCAGGCCAAGGCTTCAGAAGCCAAAGATGAGAAGGAAGTACGGACCTCATTCTGGAAGTCTTTGCTGGCGGGGCCCTTGCACATACCCCTCTGTGGGGGCCACAGGGAGCCATGTGTGATGCGTACTGTGAAGAAGCCAGGACCCAACCTGGGCCGCCGCTTCTACATGTGTGCCAGGCCCCGGGGTCATCCTAATGACCCCTCCTCCCGCTGCAACTTTTTCCTCTGGAGCAGGCCCAGCTGAACCAGTGGAGGCCAGGGGATGTCTGGCATGATCACCCCTGCATCTGATCTGAGGCCAGCTCCCCTTCCTCTCAGCTGCCTCCTGCTTCTCCCCCAAAGTCTCCTACCCTTCTCTTCCTCCTCTAATCCCTCTCGTCCTCTTTCTCCTTCTTACCTAGCTCCTTGTTGGTGAGCTTCTTATGCCTTACTCCTCTGACCCAGTCGCCTACGCCACTTTCCACCTTCCTGTCCGAAGTACGCGGGCACTAGCTGCCCTGGGAAGTTGTGTGATTTTAAATCACTTCTGTCCTTTCTGGGAAATGTATTTGTGCATAAATAAAGTCTGTGTATTTGTTTCAGGGTTGCACATTGAGTGGACATTGTGGATGTGCTCCGTAAAGTTGAGTCAAAGAAGTTATCTTAGTACTGGGTTTGGCAGCTGGCTGTAGCCCAGTGATATAATTCCCAGGGAAAGCGGGGGTGGGGGGGATGGGGGGTTGGGGGGGAGGGAGGAGGAGCAGTGCTCACCAGAAAGGATTCTCTGTTCAATTGTAGGAGTTTCCTGTACTGCTGAGGTTAAATCAGCAAGGGAGGGGGGCCGTGTAGCTTTAAATCAGAGCTTTCCAATTAGTGTGCCCCACAGTTGCCACAGTGGGTTACAGGGTTGAAAGAAATAGGGTCCTCATCCCTCAGTTGCCAGGCAGGGTCTGGGATCACACAAGTCTCAGGGAAGATGGCCTCCTCAGCAAGTAGTATCATTCGTGCACCTAAGTGTGCCTTGGAAATAGTTCCTGTATGCCGTGACCTTGAAAGTGAGAGCATTGCTTTGAACACAGTACTTGCTCTAGCCAAGCCTCTTCTCACCTTTGAAAATGGGACTGGTAGGCTGGGCGAGGTGGTGCATGCCTATAATCCCAGCACTTTGGGAGGCCGAGGTGGGCGGATCACTTGAGGTCAGGAGTTTGCCACCAGCCTGACTAACATGGTGAAACCCTGTCTCTACTAAGTACAAAAAAATTAGCTGGTCATGGTGGTACATGCCTCTAGTCCAAACTATTTGGGAGGCTGAGGCAGGAGAATCCCTTGTACTTGGGAGGCAGAGGTTGCAGTGAGCCGAGATTGTGCCATTGCACTCTAGCCTGGGCAACAAGAGTGAAACTGCATCTCAAAAAAGAAAAAAAAGAAAGGAAAAGAAAATGGGACTGGTGAATCCTGTTCTGTGAGATGCTGTGGGAGGGAGAAAGGATAATGGATTGAGGAAGACTTCCATATCCCCTTCTGGAAAATACCTCCTTGGTTTTGGGGAACCCCTCCTTTCTAGGGAATTTGGTTGGGGCTGCCTCATCTGGCTTCAGGGGCTACCTTGGGCCCAGAATTCCAGGGCCCAGATTACTAGTGAAGAGTCAATCTGGATTTTTATTTAAACCATTGGGAAGAGCCATTTCAAGTAAATCTGCTGGGTATCCTGGCTCTGTACAACTCACTGTGGAGTTTTTGGGCATTTCTTCCCTCTTTCTCATTCTGTTTCCCTGTTGGTAAAGTAGAATGGTTAGACCAACAAGTGACCTACAGTTTCCTCACAGATCCGCCACTTGTCCGAGGGTGTCAGTTATAGTGCAGTTGTCTGTTTCCTGCCCAATAAAAGGCGACACATGCTGCGGTTTATGCTTTATTTTTAGGCTCAATTCAGCTAGAGGCACACAACAAAGCAGAGGACAGGAAGAGGCCCGGACCCAAGTGAAGTGCAGCTGGGGTCTGGATCCTAGGCAGCTGGCTTCTCAGGCATAGGTGGTGACATATTGGGGCCCCATGTTCCCAAAGTAGGAACGTTCCCACTCGCTCATGAGCTCGAAGTGTACAGGACGGTGACAGAAATTGCAGGCAGCCACAGACACATCCTGGAGGGGCAGCCCCACCTCAGTCCAAGCCAGCAGCAGCTTCTCTGAAGGTGGTAGGGGGAGGGGAGGGAAAGAATTGGTTAGACTAGATCTTTCAAATCTGTCAGTACAGATGAGCCAAGACATTGATCCCCCCAACCCTTCAAGGTGTCTCAGGGTCAGAAGTAGCATACTGTTTGCTCCAGTGTGTGCCATTTGTATCTGAGTGCTGAGATATACATTATAAAAGATTGGGAAGCTCTCCTTTGACACAATTTGAGGCCATACTCCCTAAGTATAGGATGTGCTGTGGCCCAAGAATGACTGCTTGGAAACTCCAAGCCCTGTGAGGAAAATGATAATGACAGTAACCATACTGTGTCATTGGTGCTTTGACCAGGAAACCTGGGATAGGGGATCCACCTGGGGGTGTGAGAACCCAGAGAGAGGAACCTGACCTAGCTAGGGGAAGTACCCCAGGTATGTTCCAGGGCTCTGTTCTTGGCCTTTCTGTGTTCATGCCCTTGTTGATCTTTTCTAGTCACATGACTTTGAAGACCATCTATATGCTGATGGTTCAGAAATTTTAATCTCCAGCCCACACCTCTCTACTGATTTCCAAACTTGTATATCCAATGGCTTTTCTCCATCTCCACCTAGATGTCTAGTATGCATCTCTAACTTATGAGTACAGCTGAGCTTCTCATGTCCCTACCCTCCACCAAGCCATTCTACTTTTCGCTTTTCCCATCGCAGTGGATGGCAATTCTAGTTGCTCAGTCCAAAAATTTCAGAGCTATCCTTTATTTTTCTCTTTCTCTCTTACCCTATATCCCATCTATCAGCAAAGGCCATTGGTTCCACCTTCAAAATCTGACCACTTCTTATTGCCTTCATTATGATCAAGTCTGAGCCACCATCATCTCTCACCTGGGATATTACTGCAGCCAACTCGTGGGTCTCCCTGCTTCTACTCTTGCTTCCTTTTAGTGTATTCTCTACATAGAAGTTGGAGCAATTCTGTTAAAACCTGAGTCAGATATATCAGTCCTGTGCTCATATCCTTTCAAGGGCTCTCAGAGTAAAAGCCGAAATCCTTCAGATGGCCTACCATACCCTATGCAATCTCGTCCCACATTGCCTCTATATATTCAATTTTTCTGTCTCTGACCTATTACACCACTCCACTCACACCCGTCTTCTTACTGTTCCTCAAATATAAAAGGAATACTGTGTCTTCCCTGCCTCAGGCTGCTCCCTCTTCCTAGGATGCCATTCCCTTAGATCTGCCTCACTAACTCCACCTCCTTCAAAGCTGCTCCAGTGTCACCTCAGCGTCCTCTACCCTTGCCACTCTAATAACTACAACTCTTCTCTGAACTGGCCCCTGCCCCCTTATCCCATTCTCCTTATCCTGCTTTATTTTTTCCCACAGCACTTAGAACTAACGTGCTACTTAATTTGCTTATTTTTAGTAATGTTTTTTGACTGTCCCCTTCCACTAGAATGTAAGCTCCAGAGGGTAGGAATTTTGTATCTGATTTGTTTACTACTGCATCTCCAGTGCCTAGAACAGTGTCTAGCACACAGTTGGTACTCAGTAAATATTTGTTGAAAGAATGCCTAAGTCTAGAAGATGAAGGAAGGTAAGCCAGAGGAAAGTGTGAGGGAGGGCATTCCAATCAAAAGCAACATGAGCCAAGTCCCAGAGGTAAGAGAGCAGAGAAAAATGACAAGTCATTCACGGTAGCTGGAAAAATAAAATGCATGTGGGGAGGAGGTGAGGGCATAGAGATCACCATGTGGAAGGCATTGAATGCCATGCTGAAGAGCTTCAACTCTGTCCTATAGGTCAGTGGTTTTAAAATTTCGGAGTATACATGCCTATCAGTACAAATGTTTTAGCATGTACCTCCAATCTCTGTATATTTGTTTATATGTTATATACATGTATAATTGTCAGTCTATATATTAAAGATCAGTATCAATGCTTGATGTCCTATTTTTGAGATTAAAAAAACCCATAAAATTATAATACATATTCTGTTCCTTCACCCTGTAGATCATCTTGTATACCTCACCTTGGAGGCCATTGCTTTAGAGTCTGGAGGGAGACATAAAGGGGTTTAAGCAAGGGACCAATATAGTCAGGTTTTTAGAAAAATTCCTCTGGTGGTCAGCCTGGAGAAAGGATTTGAGAGGAGCAAGAGAGAAGCAGGGAAATTAGGAAAAAACCATGATGACATGGATTAAAGAAGTGGCAGGGGAGAAAAGCAAATGGATTTGAGAGATGAGAACTTTTCCAAGATTTCGGGATGGATTGGCTGTGGAATTTAGGAATTGGTAGAGACATGGTGGATGCCTCGCATATATTCTTACAAAAGCCCAGCCTAAGTAGACATTCAGAGAACCAAGAATACTGAGAGCTCTATAATTGAAGTCCAGAGCAATAGAGCATAGTGAACAAAAGGCCCAGGAGTCTGGATCATCAGCTCAGAGAGGCGGTAGACCTAGTGGTTATGACCATGGAGGTAGAGACAGACCTCCTAGTTGCAACCTAGTAGCTGTGTGACCTTGGATCAGCGACTGTATATTTTTGTGCCTCAATTGCCACATGTACAAAATGGAAATAATGAGAGCATCTCTAACTCATAAGGTTGTTGGGGGGATTAGATGAGTTAATACGTGTAAAGTGTTTAGAACAGTGCTTGGCACATGGTAAGTACTTAATGTTAGCCAGCATTATTTGATGTTTTTAAATGAATGAATGAATGGCACCTACCTAGCTTGTCTTCCTTGAACTCTCATGCTGCCCATGTTTCAGACAAACAGAATGATGTTCTCAATACATGCCTCCTGCTTTCCTGTCTCTAGGTCATTGCTCATGGAATTCGCTTATTCTGGAATATTCTTTTTTTTTTTTTTTTTTTTTGAGATGGAGTTTCACTCATGTTACCCAGGCTGGAGTGCAATGGCGCGATCTCGGCTCACTGCAACCTCCGCCTCCTGGGTTCAGGCAATTCTCCTGCCTCAGCCTCCTGGGTAGCTGGGATTACAGGCACGCACCACCATGCCCAGCTAATTTTTTTGTATTTTTAGTAGAGACGGGGTTTCACCATGTTGACCAGGATGGTCTCAATCTCTTGACCTCGTGATCCACCTGCCTCGGCCTCCCAAAGTGCTGGGATTACAGGCTTGAGCCACCGCGCCCAGCTGGAATATTCTTGTAACATACTCACATGTACTTCAACATGCATCACAAAAACTTCCTTATTCACAAAGCCTCTCCAATTTCATCCTTCCCATGCTCTCTAGCCATAATGTGCCCACTCCCTCTAGCTCTCAGAATACTAGAGCTCATCATACTGAACCAGTAGCATCGATATCTGGCTCCTCTGCTAGACCATCAATTGCCTACATGTCTTTCATCTAACATGCCTGGAATGAGCACCTGCTCAATGTCAGGCCCTGTGCTAAAAACTGCACC